ATTAAAAAAAATTTTTTTAATTTTAAACAAAACTCTTTTAAACAAAACTTTTTAAAAAATAATTTTTTATTATTCACATTGCATTTACTGACTTGTTCAGAAAGGGCAAAAAATGTTTGTAAAAAAATAAGATTACTCATAAAAACAAAAATAAGAACAAAACATTCATTTATTTTTATTTTTCCTAGGATATTTGCTTTAATTTTCTGTTTTAATTTTTTGAGGGGTTACCGTAACCGAGATGAGATCTCTATCAAAAATCTCGGTTATCTAGATTGAGAATTTTTCGAGATCTCGATTTTTGTAGTTCTAAACCTGATAGATTACCAAGCGGAAATTCTTTCTCAATACATGTTGAGAAAGTGACACAACCAGATGTGCCGAAACTGATTTTAAAAAGCGAAAAACGAACGGCGAAATCGGAAATTTAATTTAAAGTAACCGCCAAACAACCGAGTGAAACTGGCACACCCCTAATTCGCACCGCAGCATGAAGGGCACAGTGGCTGTTACTTGTTACTTTTACTTTACTTTACAGTGGCAGCCTCTATGCTCTAACTTATACAGAAATTATGGCCATGCTTTACCAAATAAAAAATAGCTACCTAAATTATTGTTCAAAAATTAGGGGGCCGCCGTTCTATAAAACCCATGTATTTTATTCTCACTTTTCTATCAATCAAAATTAGCTTATCTTTCCTCCTTACTAACATTTATTTTTCACATCTAGTACAAGCTGTTCCAAAATTTGGTTCCAAAATTATAGTCTCATAATGGTTAGAGAAGGCACCTTAAGGGCTTAGGGGCTTCCCTTCCCCTTAAGGCTTCTTCAGCCGCCTTCAGGCCACCTTAAACGGCAGGAGTGCCCATTTTTTTAGCTTAATTTTGTTGTTTTGCTCTTTTTTCTATTTGATGTTTAAATAAATTTAATCCTTTTTATTCCAAATTTAATTTTATTTTATTGTTTTTGTTTTAAAAAAAATAAATTAAATTAAATTTTCCCTGTTTTTTTCCCTTATTTTTCTATTTATTTTTTTATTGTTTTTATATTTTTTTAAAGTTTAAGGGAATTTTTTTATCCTTTGTTTAGTCCTTTCCCAAGTACCTCAAAATTATTTTTTTTCATTTTCTAATTCATCATTTCCTTTCTTATAAAATACTTCAATTTTAGTTATCGAACAGCGCTTAAAGGGTTTTAATAATCAAACAATCTCTTCAATACAATCGACATTTTTTCTAGTTATTTTACTCAAAAATTCTTCCCTTTAAGCTTCACCTCCTACGCCTTTCCTTTATTGGCACACAAAGTTATTCTCTCCCTTTTATGCCAATCCCTAAGGGGAGTACCCTCTTTGGCGCGACTTGTACTAGTCGCGGGGACCGTAACCTACCTAGAAATGGTCGGAACGCGTTAAATTAGGTATAATTCGATGTGTATTGAAGAAAGGAGTCGAACCATGCCAAAAATGAAGGGATTTGAATTTTGTATAAATTAGAAGTGTATTGGGATTAAATTGGGTCGGCGGTGAGGTGTATGCCTTCCCAAGCTTATAAAATATTTATTAACAATAAGATTAAGCTAAAAAAATTTTTTTACTCGTTTTGCTGTTCCCTTCTTTAAAAATACATAACACAATCAAATAATAAAAATATATAAGTTATAACTTAATTTACATAAATGAACATTTATAAAAATAATTTTTCCTAAAATTGAAAGGATTTAAAAAATCTTTTTTTTATTAAAATTCAGCAAAATCTCATTTTAAACATTTCAAAGGTATTATTAAATTTAAGCTAGGTACCTACGTTTTTTAGATCATTTTTAAATACCTCTAAGATAACCTCGCTTTAGGATAAGTATCTTCCATAAAATTAGGTTGGTCACGACAGTGTAGAGGCGTTATACTTAAGCGATGCCTCCTGTTTAACTGGCGATATCTCATAGTTAAGATACTCCTTATTATAATATTATAATTATCCTAGCCTTATTATAATTTTTCAACCCAAGGGGTGTATTTTGTATTGCCTACAGAATAGGTGAGTTGCCGAAGCGATATACCTCCCCTATTTAATTACGATCCCTTCCATTTAAGATACGCCTCCTTATAATTTTTTCATCCTCAAAGGTTTATCTTTTATGTGTAATTCCACTCGTTTATTTAATAGTTTAAGTAGACCCCGGACCGAGACGAGATCTCGATAAAAAATCTCGAGTATTGAGGTCGGGATTTAATCTAGCTCTCGATTTTCGTACGACCCTACCAGTCCGGGCCCATATCTTAAGAGTAAAATTCCGCTAATTAAAAGCTTATTTAACGTTCATTTTCATGGGTAAATTCGTTCTCCATAAATTTACTGGCTGGTTTGTCGTTGAGAATCCGCAAAAAAATAATTTTGTCCGCAAATTGTGTCCGCAAAAAAATTTTTCCTTAAAGTACCTTCTTCAATAGGAAAACTTTTTTTATTTTTATTTAATAAATTTATTTTCGTGCTATACTCTTTTTTACATTTATGTACTTCCTTTTAACTTTACAAAAAAAATTTTTTCTATAAAAATTCCCAACGGAAAATAAAAGGAAGATGTAAAGAGATTTTTCTATTTAAAACAATTTTCAATTACTTTAAACTGACAGAAAATAGCTTTTCCCAAGAGAAATTTTATGGAAGAAAAAAAAACTTTTTTTTTTGTTCTTTAATCTTTTTTTTAACCAACCAAAAATTGTTTCCTTTTTTTTAAAAATTTATTAAAAAATTTTCTTTAAAAAACATAACTTAATTACCTATTTATTTGTATTATTTAATTATGCAGAAAAAAATTTTTTCTTGATATACTGCTACTATTTGATATTTTAAAATAATTTTTTAATAAAAAAACTATTTTCCATAACTAAAGTTACCAAAATTCCAATGACCAAAATTCCGTACACCGATCAAAGACCTTTTCTAATTTGTGACTGAAAAAAAGCGATATGTCTGATAAAAATAGTAATTATTTTTCAATCGAGTTAAAGGTAGTGTTAACTTATCCAGGAATTTTTAGTGCGGGTATGCGATCCGGATATCCAGGGATTTCCTAGATTACTTAAACCCTTTTTAAAGGAGTTAAATCTCAATCATAGTTGGGGTATAGGGTTAGGGTTTTCGAGTCGGGCTGACGTTCGAGTCATTTTTTTCGGGTCTCATTTTTTCGGGCCTGTTCGACCGAGTTTTTTTCGAGCCAAAATTCAATGCCCGACTCGATCTTTCAGGCCGGGCCGGATCGGGTCCCCAACCCTATTGAGGTACCCGAAATTTGTAAATTAATATTTTTAACAATTATTTTTAAAATTTATTTTTAAATACTCGATCAAAGATTTTTCTAATTTTGTGACTGATAAAAAGCGTATAAATTATAATATAATTTTTATTGTTTTTTTTTGTTAAACCAATTTAAATAAATTTATTTAGTATTGAAAAATATTTGTTGTTAATTTCTTATCGTTCCTTTCTTTTTATTTTTTCTTTTGTTTTGCCGTCAGCTTTTGTTCAAAATAAAATAAAAAATAAATAAATAAAATATGCATCACAGACTAAGGAATGCTCTCCTAATTTAGAATTGAAACACACACATTCCCAACAAAAACTTGCTAATTTTTTGATAGAAAAACAGAAAAAAATAATTAAAAATAATGTTTCTTTTTGAAATTAAATTTAAACTCAAATTATTTTTTAAAATTATTTTAGGTAAATCAAATCTTAGTAATTCTTAGGAATCCGTTATTCGTTCTCCTGAATTTTTAAAACAATTTTCCTTCAGAAAACCAAAATAAAGGATAAATGAACCCTTTCCAGGAGTTAACGTTTTCTATTTTTTGTTTGTGTTTGAGGGGTCCTACAGCCTAAGCATTAGTGTTTTGAGCTGACCGGAATAGGATCCAATTTGAGTTCCTAATCCCGAACTTCCGGTGAAGCATTTTATAAGACAGGTTTGACTCTTCAAAATAAGGATCGGACCAGATTGGGATTCGAAAAGAAAAATTTATTGAGATATCGATCTCGATTCTCTCACGACCTCCCAATCCGGTCTCTACTTCAGACCCTTTAAAATCTCTTTTAGATCCAATAGCTTACATATTTATTTACCTAATTTTAAATTTTCATTTCAAGTTTAATTTTTAAATTTTATTTTAAAGAAATTATTTAAATTATATAAATGATACTTTTAAAATTATATGGAGATACTCATAATTATTTTCACAACAATAATAATAATATAAATAATAATTTATTACAAACAACAAACTTTAAAGATTTTAATTTAGCTAATAATTCTTTTAAACATTCCCTTGTTGAGTTCAACGGAAATGATGTAGATTTTCAACCTCAATGGTAAAGGGCAAATTAAGTTGAGGGAAGATATTTGCGGATAACAAATAAATATAGGGATGATGCTAGACATTTGAAGGGCCGGTTTTTTAGGTCATGACCACGAAAACCTCTAAACCCGTTTTTTGAAGTGTCAGGGTCAGGCCGACCTCTGAAAACTAATAATTCTTATATTCTGAAAACTACTGATAGAGCCGATAGTAATGTCCCATGTATTCTTAAATAAATACATTGGATTAAGACAGCTGCTAATGGCACTCAGTAGAGACGTCCGAGACTTTTCTTGGATTTTTTTCTGTCATGGTCTCGACTTTTTTGGGGGTTTGAAGAATAAGTCTCGGACGTATTAAACAAACACCCAGTCTTACTATTTTTCAATCATTCAAAAGGGGCATTCAATTAGAGGAGGGCATTTAAAGGGGCAGAGGGCACTCTATTAGAGATTTTACTTTACGTATTTGGTTTTTAATGCCCGCAAATGTTTGTCCCGCAATGTATTTCATATTTAAATAATATTAAATATAATTATCTCCAATTTATTTTTTTCTTAAAATAGGTTTTGGCTTATACTTGTTGCTATGCCTATTTCTTGTATTATTGGTATATGAAATTAAAATTAAAAATCACAAGAAAAATTTTTTAAACATCGAAAGGTAACACCCTTGTTGTAGCTGCCGTTCTTTCAAACAAATCACTTCAAACCCCTACCAATTATTTGTTATTAAGTCTTGCCTGTGCTGATTTAATGGTTGGCACAATGGTTATGCCTTTCCATATTTATATGACTGTAAATTATTTTTTTGGAAATTTTTAAAAAATTTAAAAAAAGGTTAATTCACTTCATTGGCATTTATCTATAACTATTTGTTATATGTATTGTGTACTTGATGTTCTTGCCTCAACTTCTTCGATAATTCATTTATTGTTAATTAGTATGGATAGGTTATTAAATTTTCTTTTAAATGATAAATTGGATAAACCCACCTCTGGGTTGCCAATTTTATCTTATACTGTGTCAGATCTTTGATAAGGGTATCGTTTATATGGCACGCACAGTTCAGTGGCTTACCGAATTTTTTTAAAATTCGGCTCGTTTTTGAGTTTTTCGAGCTGAAAAGCCTCGGCTCGCTCGATCTTTTGAGTTTCGGTTTGAGCGAGCTGGCAACTCTAATTGTGATGTATTGAGTATTGTGTGTATCTTTGAAGGATTTGGCATATTAAATACATCTGATTCCTATTAATGAGGTATGGCTAGCTAGAGCCCGGACTGGAAGAGTAGACAAAGATATTAATATTTCGAAAAATCTCAATCTCGATAATCTAAATTTTGTTTGAGGTCTCGTCTCGCCCGGTCTCTAGAGATAGCCAAGAACTTAAGCTAGCTACATAAGTTTACTTCTGCTTTATCAACCTTTTGTTAATACCTAAAATTGAACTTTAATAATGATTATAGACAAAACTAAGTCAATTCAAGTCAGTGTAACTTATTTTAGGGAAAAACCTAGAGGCTTAAAAATTAACTAATAATTTCAGGCTAGTGGCTGCCACAAAACCTGCTGAATATAAAACACATAAACACAGAAGAAGGTTGATTTCTAATCAAAAATAAAATTAAAAAAATTAATTTAGAGTATATATTTCAATTCTCTTCTGTTGGGTATTCAGCATTTTACTCTCTTTACCCCTCGTTTTTGGCTCAAATGCAGAAACTCGTTTATTTCTAATAGAAAAACATCATTGTGGAATTTATAATCCTACTTATATGTTTGTTAAGTTTTTTGAAAATTATCCAAAAAATATTTTTTAAAGGTTTGGTTCTTCTATTTTTGCCTTCTTTCTTCCTCTAATTTTTATGTCTATTATTTATGGGTAATTAAATTACAGTTTGGACCTCGCCTTGAAGATAAGCCAATACCTCGATTTAGGATACGTTTTTAAATTTCTAATAAGTGGTCTGGCGTTCGTTTTGGCATTGTTTTTGTCTGGTTTTGGCGTTGTGAATATAGGCGTATTTTAAGAATTTAAAAAATTGGATTTGAAAAAACTGTCTAAGCAATTCCCCCAATTTAATGTACCCCTCATTATTAAATACAAATTTTTTCGTCGAGCGTATCTCATGTGAGGTCCGGAATGATTTACATAAGATAAAATTATAAATCTATTTCTAAAAAGATATATTTTCTACACTTTACGTCGTCGTCTTCGAGCCATTCAACTTCAAGAAATGGCCGGCGGCCAATTTCTAGGTTTTGGAGCTGATATTGGCAATATAGCTACATCAGCTATAGAGACAGTCAGAGGGGTAGAACAAAAACATCGAAATATGTTAACCTGGGAAAAGCCTTTACTTAAAAAAATTGAAGAAACTGCTGCTGAACATGCATCCTCTTTAAATGAAAGTGAAAGAGAGCAAGTAAATTAATATTTTTGTTGATAATTATGGGTAAAAAAATATTTCCAAAGATCATGCTAATATATAATTTCACTTAAAAATGCAAAATCCTGATAGGAAAGGTGCCTAGAGGGGTTCCCAAAGGGTGTTAGTTCTTATAGAGTGCATAAAATTAGGGTTGCGCACCGAGATTGGAAAATGGGCGAGGACCTCGGCCTCGGCCTCGGCGAGGCTTTTACCTCGCGCAACCCTACATAAAATATGAATACATGCACTAAAAACATGGAACATCTTTTTATGTTCCTCCTATATTGCATGTTCCTCCCAATTAGATTATTTTAAATAATCCGACTTTAAAGCTTCAACATATCCTCCAAGCAACAAGTTCAGGCTCTGGCCAAAATTCAAGTAATAACAGTAACAACACAAAAGAAGACCGACCAAAAATATTATTTCGTTCATCAATCGAAACTTCAATTGATTGTGATGATCTGAGCAGTATTAATTCAATAAATAGTAGACCACCTTCTATTTTATTGGATGCAATAACTGTTCCGCCTAATGAAACTGAGACTTATCAAAAAACTAAATTGAATATTTGTGGTTCGAATTTTAAAATTATTAAAAATATTGTTGGTTGAATAGTAATGGTTGAATAGTAATTAATATTTGAAAAATCGGATCCTAGAATATACACACACCTACTACATATAGTTAGACATCACAATAAGATGCCCCTTCGAGGCTGATAATATTGCCCCTTATAACGAAGGGAATCTTATATTGGATCTATTTCCTATGCTCCAATCAAAGCCTAAGATCGAAGTCTACCATTGTCCAACTATTTCTTAAGCTCCAATCAAGGTCTAAGATCGAAGCCTAAACATTGTCCATCCCACCCTGTGCTTCGAGGCTTACTTTGAAGCTCTTACCACAATCTCGAAGCACTGATTCCCACTCAGTGGCTATCAAATCTTAAGGTATCTTTTATAGCGAGATCCTCTGGACACAATATTTTTTAATATACCTACATAAATGTATAGAAATCATAGAAAATTTTTTTTAAGAATTAGAATCCCGCTTTCTAACAACAAATAATTTACTTGGAGTCCCACAACAATTTACAGCCACAAAAAGAAGAAGACATTCAGAGGTCGTCTTAAACGGATCCCAAATAAATACAAATATTGGGAAGGAAAATAAAAATGGGAATACCTTAAATTCTTCGCATGCTTTAAAGCTTAAAATGCAACGTAGAAGGCATTCGTATCAACCACCCGGTCAAAAAAATAAAATTTCTGGAAGGAATTCTCTACTATTTCCAGAAGATAAGGTAATCTTAAAAGGAAGCACTTTAAAAATTTTTTTCAAATTTTTCTTGCGGACTTTTTTTTCTTTCGGACAATTTTTGCAGACTTTTTTGTGGACTTTTCTTGCGGACAATTTTTGCGCCTTTTATCAAAGCGTTTCTACCAAAGTAAGAGTCTACAAAATATTTCCGCAAGCTTTTAATGAAAGATTAATCGCAAAAATAAACTTCAAGGTATAGGAAAGATCAAAAATTGACTTGAGATTAATATGCAAAGAACGTCCGCAAGAAAATCTCTCTCCACTTCATAAGCTAATTAAAAACAAAATTCCGGATCAAAATAAAATATTTGAAGGATAACAGAAGAAGAATGAGACGACTTTCTGAATTAATCTCTGGATGGGATAGGCCAACACATCCCTCTATAGGTCAAATGATTCAATTTGCAAGAAGAGATTCTGTTTATATGGCCAGAAAAAAATTGGCAGGATTGAAGGATTGGGCACTGGGTTGGAAGATTATCCCTTAGATTACTTTAAATATTTTAATTTTGAAGATTTAATCGCAAAATTGAGATCAAAGCAAGGATTAGCCATTAGACGGGAAACTCGTGCAACTAAACTGGTAGCTACTGTAATGGGTATGTAACTTTTGCGGACAAGTTTTGCGGACCAATTTAATAATATTGTACCTTTTCCTTCTAGAATTTAAGTACGAGTTTAGAAATTTTAATACACTGCTCCACATAACTATAAGTTCACCCTAAATTTTCGAATTTCTTAACCTCTATCAAATCAATCCGGCTGATTTTTATTTTATATTTATTAAAGCATGTATCAATTCATATAAACCCGAGAAATCAAAAAAATTTCCATTCAAAAATTTTTTATCCAATTTTAACAAAAAAACCCTCCACATAACTATAAGTTCACCTACAGAAATCACATAAGGGATGCTTGAAAAATTCTACAAAAATTCATGCAAATATTTTCATTGATAATAAGTGAAAAATAAAAAAGAACCAAGTCTGTAAGTCCTTTTTTCATCGAGATCCAAAATCTCGAAAATCAACTGGAAATGGGGGCTACAGTACTTTAAAAATATTTTTACAAGTGTAGACTGTAAATAAAAATTTTTATTATAGTCCATCTGAAAGCCCACAAAATTTGCTACAAAAAACAGTTGGTCCTATCCAGGACAAAAATTCTACCTTTGAGGAGCTTTGGGTTAAATGAGGTGATGAACCCCACAAAATGAACCCCACAAAATGTCATTATTTCGAGTTTCTAAATTTAACCGGTGTCTCTTCAGTGATAAAATTTTTCCCTATGATAGGACAAAGTGTGTTTTGTAGCAAATTTTGTGGGCTTTCAGATGGACTATAATAAAAATTTTTATTTACAGTCTACACTTGTAAAAATATTTTTAAAGTACTGTAGCCCCCATTTCCAGTTGATTTTCGAGATTTTGGATCTCGATGAAAAAAGGACTTACAGACTTGGTTCTTTTTTATTTTTCACTTATTATCAATGAAAATATTTGCATGAATTTTTGTAGAATTTTTCAAGCATCCCTTATGTGATTTCTGTAGGTGAACTTATAGTTATGTGGAGGGTTTTTTTGAAAAATTTGGATAAAAAATTTTTGAATGGAAATTTTTTTGATTTCTCGGGTTTATATGAATTGATACATGCTTTAATAAATATAAAATAAAAATCAGCCGAATTGATTTGATAGAAGTTAAGAAATTCCAAAATTTAGGGTGAACTTATAGTTATGTGGAGCTCGTTGGATTATCATGTATCTCGTTGGATTATCATGCCTGGGATTGCCTTCATATTCTCCTCCACACATTTTGTCCGCAAATCTTATCCGCAAAATTTTATCCGCAAAATCTTATCCGCAAAATTTTTATTAATTGCCTAATTATCGTTTAAGGTGTATTTTTAATTTGTTGGGCTCCATATTTTTCAATGAATATATACAAAATATATAAACTTTATACTGATCAGTGGATGCATGATACAGAATATATATTTCACTGGCTTAGTGCACTTGGCTATTTAAATTCTTCTTTGAATTTTTTTATTTATTCTGCAATAAATAAAGTATGAAACTGATAAATATAAATTTTAACTTTCTTAGGTACCCCCAATATTAGATTCACTGAATGTAGGATACATTTAGGTGCATTACTGTTACCTGTCTAGATTACATTTTATGTTCTCGTAATGGTCAGAGGGCCCCCACCACAATTTAAAATACAGAGAGTGGGAGGGAGGGTGTAGGGCAGGGCTGGGCGAAGTCAAAAAATAAAAAGCGAAATGCGGAATGCGAAACTTTTTTTAAAACAATAAAAAGCGAAATGCGGAATGCGAAACTTTTCGCGCCAAAAAATGTGAAAAATGCGAAAGATGCGAAACGCGAAAATGCGAAATTGGTTTAAAATTCTAGAAATATTTTGGATAGTATACCGGAGGGAAAGTTTCGATAAGAAACAACTACTATTCGATGTCTCGGCGAGCTGAGTCGATAGAAGTGTTAGACCGAAAATTCTTGGATGGATTAAAGAGGATATCATGGGATTTGGGAGGATAACTGAGGATTTAGGGGAGGGATCTGGAAAACATCTTCCTTTTTCAGCGCCACAGGCAAAAATTATGAGAATTTTGGATCCTTTATAGCTAAATACACATCCTTTGGGGCCGGAAGCAGAAACAGATCATTACAAGCAAACCGGAACCAAAAAATCCCGGGACTTACGGCTTGCCTGAACCGGAACTTCCGGTGAAGCTTTAGTAAGTTTTACCGAAACCCAGTATCTTTTTTCATACATTTTCACCTTCTTTCATGGAACTTTTTATCTTTTCGATCGAACTTTTCACATTTTAATCTCCTGATATCCCTCTTAATCTCAAATTTTTCCTGCGCCGCAGGCAAAAATTTTCAGAATTTTGGAGGTCCGTAAGTCAGATTCCTTTTATTTTCTGCGCAGCATTCATTACTAAAAAATTCATTACTTTATTACTAATTAAAATTTTTAATGTTTTTCAAATTTAAAATATTAAAAAAACAAATTTACAGATTTAAAATCAAAGTTTAAAAACATTAAATTTTGGAAAGGAAAATATATATTTCCCACGTCTGGATTCAAACCCAGCCCCAAAAAACACAAAAGTAAGCAAAGTCAGTCAACTTAACCACTCAACCATCGCCCACCTAAATGAATTTTAGGATAAATATCTATGTTTCTTTCCCTCTTCCTTTAAAAAATTTAATGTAAAAATATCTAAAAAATAAAGAAATATAAATTAAAAAGGCGAAACAAATTTCGCATTTGGACCAAAAAGCGAAATGCGGAATGCGAAACTTTTCGCGCCAAAAAATGTGAAAAATGCGAAAGATGCGAAACGCGAAAATGCGAAATCGCCCAGCCCTGGTGTAGGGGGTTTTTATCCTAAATTATTGTATCTTACTTCCCCTTACTCCCATTTAATGTACCCCTTATTATATTGTACGATTACTTCAGCCTTAATTTGTAAGGGTGTGTCTAAAAATGAGGGTTCTATTTATATCTGAAAAATAATAATTTTTTCTAGAAATTTCGAATAACTTTTTGGCGTTTACTTGGACTAAAAAGAAGTTGTAGAAGAAAGAGTTGGATGCTTCCACCTCGAAGACCAACAAATTCTGAAAAAATAAAACGGCGATTTTCAAAGAAAAATGAAATAAATAATGAAAATAGTCAACAAAAAAGTAATAATAATAATTCTAATATGACAGCTATCGAAAGGGAATTAAATCAGCAAAAACAATTAAATTCTCAAAATAATTCTTTCAAAATAAAAATAAAGAAAAATATAAAATTATTAAAAAATAATAAAAATGAGGAGGTTAAAGAACAACAAAAATTGCCAAAAAAAGAAAATTGTAGCAGAGAATTTACTTATAGAAAGAGATCTCGACTTGAAAGTCTCTCTGCTTTAATGTAAATTTTTGTTTGGAAATTATAAAAATAATTTTTTCCAGTCCACCATTAGGTAGACGCCATTCATCAAAAAAGCCGCAAATTGTTGTGGAAGATTTGGCCAACAGTCCGCCAAATTTTCGTGAAAGAAATTCAATTTCTATTTCGGCAGGAGGGGAAACGACTTTTAGGTAATCGGAAATTTAAGAACTAATGGAGTCCTAAACCTAATTAATTTTGGAAAGCGGCATTAGGGCCACAGGTATTATGTGAACCCTACTTGTTTCATGGTAGAGTACACCCGAATATATGGATATATCACCCGCTATATTACCGATAATCTTGATAAATCACTCGATTCTCAATTAATCCATGCCTTACACTAATAAGAGGGATATAGGAGGACGCTTATCACGGGTATCAAGGGGTATGTAGAATATCGTAGGAATAAGGGATTTAAAGTGATCTTTGTGAAGATTTACCTAATTGGTCTCTAATCAACCCCCTAGACCTGTATATCCCTCCTATCACTGATATCCCGTAAGACTACCCTTAATCCATTGAACCTCATTATATCTCAAGATTAACCCTTATATCTCCATCTTTAATCAAGACTTAAGATTTTTTTTGTATTTTTTCGGTCTTGGTCTTGGGGTGCGTCTTGCTCTCGAGTCATGGAAAATTTTCGTTCTTGGACATCTCTACTAGCTATCCTCATATCTTTAAATACTTATTTTAATTTAGGCGTTCATCAGAAGATTGTATTCAACGTTCAAGTTCCGAAGTTTTTGGAGGAGGAATTTCTTTCCCAAGCGGAACACACCATTCACACAGAAGAGGTTCTGATATGAGTAATTCTTCTGCTTCTCTTCAATTACATGATGTACATCAAATAGAGGCACAAAGTGCCGAAGAGATGGCACAAGTAGAAATTAAAACTACAGAAATTTTTATTTAAAAATGAAAAATTTTTTGAAATTTAGTTTTATTTATTTTGATATTTTTTGTTTTCTAGTTAAATATTAAATTCTCAATTTCAAATTTCATCATAAAATTTAAAATAATTTAAAAATGATTGAGACTCTTGAATACATGTCTCATTTTAAAATTCTAATGAAATATAAGGACATAAAGCTGGTAGAAAAAATTACAAAATTGCTCAAAAATTAATTTTATTTATCACTTATATTAGCCGCGTCAAATGGAAAAAGTGCAAATTTCAAAATTATTTTATTACATTTTGTACCTTATTTATTGTCGAGTCAATACAATGTCATTAACATAAATGAGACAAAATATTTAATTATTTAATCTAATAGTAATAAAAATAAAATCTTTAATATTTCTATTAATTAATAAACAATATTCTTCGGATATTCGAATTTGCAAACTATATATTAAACTTATACATATTAAATTAGGGACTCAAGAACATGCAAATGCATGTTTTTTTATGCGGATAAATATTAATATGTATAAAAATTTCTATCAAATTTAAATATATTTTTCTTAATCACGGACATTTTACGCGTAATGAATACTGTATTCGGAAGAGTTAAAGTAATTTTAGACAAAATCTCCGCTTTTAATTTATACATATTTTTTATTTTTGTCGTTTAATTTAATTATCCTTTTAAAACAAAATTGTTAAAACAATCTTGGAGGGCCCAGATAGATTAATATTTATGTCACCTTTTCCTCATGGTGACCAGAATCAGGGCTGTGCGCCAAAATTTTCGCGTGGCGCGCCAAACGCCAAACGCCAATTTTTTAAATTTTAAAAACACGCCAAACGCCAAAAATCGGCCAAAATCAACGCCAAAACGCCAAAAGCCAAAATTTTTAGAGTCTATAAAGACTTAAAAATCACTGTTCATCTCACTTTAGCGCCGCAGGCGAAATTTTTTTAATTTTCAAGATTCCCAGAAGCCAGATTCATCCTTTTTTTAACGCCTGAGTGAAATTTTTGAGAATTTTGGAGGCAAAAAAGCCGAAATTCATCCTTTAAAAAATTTTAAAAGATAAGAAATTCATAGAACTCCTTGAGATTAAGGTGGATATGAAGGGATAAAGGGAGTAATGAGTATAACAGAGGTCATGAAGAGAGTAAACGATTAACGGGACTAAAGTTTTTTTCTACCATCTATTAGTTTAAGATAAGGGCTTCCTCCTTTAAGCGCCGCAGGCGAAAATTTCGAAAATTTTGGAAGTCCAAGCAGCATATTTCTTCATTTTTTATGCGCCGCAGGCGAAAATTTTGAGAATTTTGGATGACTGTACGCAGAAAAATTTCCTTTTTCGATCATCCCTTTCTCCATTTATTTTTAAAAAATTCCATCATTAGGGGTGTATATTTTTGGCGTTTGGCGCGCCAAAATCGGAAAATCACGCCAAACGCAAAACGCCAAAAATCGGCCAAAATTAACGCCAAAACGCAAAACGCCAAACGCCATGACGCACAGCCCTGACCAGAATGTTATTGCACACTATTCCTCCCATCATAACTGTTTCATATTAAGAATATTGAGATCAATTAATGATTATAAGATAGAGAATTAAATAAGGAACAAATATAATCAAGAATTTTGAGGTAGGTTGCTTAATGAATTTTAGAGATAATCAAGAATTAAAAAGTAGGCCATCATTTTTTCAAAGAAAAAAAAACAACAAAAAAGTAGCATTTAATTTTGAAATTTCAGATGATTAAATTTAATTTTATCATACTCATATATTTAATTATATTTTTGAAAATTCAATGCGCTGCGAAACTCATTCGTGTTGAAGTGAAAATTATAGATGATTGGAAAGAAAAAAGAGAATTTGTCTATTTAAAAAATGTTGAAATAAAGGATCGTTTTGTAGTGAAAGCAATTGAAAAGACAAATAATCAACGTGATGGCTTTAATAAAAATATAGAAGGATATTTGCGTTCAATTGACCTAAATCTAGATAAAAATGTGTTTGAGGTCGAACTAAGTGATAGATCAAAATATATTCCAACCGATCAATTAAAAAAGAAAATTTTGATTGAAATTACTAATAATGAAATAATTCAAAATTTTTTGCCTGCGTTTGAAAAAATGGTATATTTTTTAATAGAATTTCCATTCCTTAGTTTAACAACTTACTATCAAACAAAAAAAGTCGGCCGCTATAACTACTATAATTTGTTAAATTTAAGGTACTCCGAAATACTTTTATTGAAAATAATAATTGTTATTCAACTTCAATATTGTACAAGAATGAAAATAATTTTAGTTCAATTGAAGAAAGTATAGAATCTTATAAAAACAAACTTTTGTCAAGTTATTGGACAGAAATTAATTTAATTGGATATAAAATTGAATTGTTAGAAAAACAAAAAGTTGAATATCCGAAAGAATTAATAAGTAGAATTATTTACATCGGCAATGAAATAAGTAAATAGTTATTTCAGTTTTTTATTTGTTATATGCATAAAAATATAAATATTATTCTTTAATATTATAGGAGGAATAATTGAAGGAAATAAACGAAACTGTTTCAGTTGTAGATTTAAAATTTCCAAAAAATGGCAAAGCTATCTAAAAGAACATTATTTGTGCGATTCATGTCGTTCGTATAAAATATATAATGGCAAATTTAGACCAGAAGGAAGTTTGCGACAAACAAAAATGGTTTAAATTTATTCATATTATTGTTAACAATGTTTTTAAAAAAGTATATGAGTAGTATTAATTGTTTCGAGCATATTTATATGCCATTATTAGGCAAGGAACCAGCACGGAAAGTGTGTTATTCGTGCGTTTCACACCATAAGCAAAAAAAATATGGATTTCCATATAATTTTGAGCCTTAATTATAAATACAGACAAGAACATACTTTTCCACTTATGGAAAATGGGAACTTAGAAAAAAGGAACAAGTAAATTAAAAGCCTTCTAGACAAGATCTGTTAATCGAAAATTAGAAGAATATCTTTAAAAAATTTTTTTGTCTGAGATCTGGTTTCATTTTCTATTTTTATAAATAATTTAGCGAATCACGAAAGATCGAAAATGCTTTACTTGCGGATCAACAAAAACACCAAAATGGTGCTGTCATTCATTACCTGGGAAATATATATGTAAAGCTTGTTACAGAAAACAACAAAGAATAATTAAGAAAACGAATAAAAATCAAACAAAACAGGAAACGAATAAATAATATTTAAATGATTATAATTTTCTAGCTTTAATTTTCTGAGTTTATTGAACAAATTATAAAACTTTAATCTATGTAATTTCAGTGAAAAATAAATTCTTTAATTGTTACTAAGAAAAATATCAAACCTTTAGATTTATTTTGAGTATTTTGTTTAATCTTATGAAGGATAACATTTATGAAGACTCAATTTTTTTAAGATTAGAAATGGCCCAAAATTGTGTTTATCAAACTAATATAAATAGTTTTACAAAGGCTTTTATTGCTTCTTCCTAAAAATGTTTTTTTCGACCTGAGATTCGACCTGAAAATTATTTTCAATTCTTTTAAAATCTAAGGACCATTTCTGTATACAATAAATTTAAAAAATTATTTTTGAGATTGGAAATAAAAAGCCATTTTTCCATAATTCATTTTACATAATAGAATCTGCGCCAGTCACCCATCATCCAAGCTATCATCGGCAGAGGTGGGTCTGAACAGTCAGAGGTCTCGGAAATCGGAACTGATTCAAAAGTCGGAACTCGGAAATCAAAATTTTATTCGGAAATTGGAAGGAAAAAACGTCGGAAATCGTAATGGCCACCAATCTCTGGTCACCAATCAACAGAGGCAAAGGAGTAAAATGCAGAGAAATTTTCTTATCAAAGATGCATTTTGCGCACATGTGGACATTTACACACATGTGGACATTCCATTTCTTTTTCAAAATCTCAATTGTTTTTATTTTTAGACTCGTTTTCTTTTAAATATTTCATTTGCTTCTTCTTTATATATCTTTGTTTACCGTAACAGGAAAAGCATAAATATTGCCCAGGTTCTGAATGACGGATCCAAATATGAGTTTCTGTAGCATGGCAAATTGCACAGTGTCGATCTTCCTTAAATTCAATAGAAAAAATTTTTTAACAATTATGAACCATTTTAGTTTTAATCCAAAATATTTTTGGTCTATTTTCTCCGTTATTTCTACGTATATAATGGTTACAATCTTTGCATAAATTGTATTTCTC